CATATCCTTTAATGCGATTTCCGCTCACAATGCCAGCAGGAACTCCCCTATGAGAAAAGGTAGAAGTTATCTGCCCACTTCCTTCCCGCACATTCTGCTTTGTTGCAATTAATTAACCCTCCGTTTGTAATTTGTCGGTGTAAGTGTACCACACGTTCGACTGGTTTTGAATGTAAAGGTATTGAAAAAAAAATTCTGTAGACACAATTGGCTACAAAATATGATAAATTAATTGTATTTATGAACAAAAAATAACAACCTTCTTGTGTTGTTATTATCAAATAATAGGTTACTTATAAATAGGGCTGTGAAATACATGCATTCGCATATTTTTCCTAGTTCACTAAAACATCCAGTTTTAACAAACTGTATATGTTTTGAAGCATTTGGAATCAATTTAAGATTTATTTATTTTGCATATTTGTGCATATATTGCCATAATTGCATATTTTTGCATAAGTGGGTTATAACTGCATATTTTTGTACATAAGCGAGATATTTGGCACGTCAAATTTTAACGTTTCTGAGCAGGCAAAAAGAAAAATTCTCCGAAAAAGAGCTACGGGCTTCATTCTTCCGTTTCCACATAATGAACGAGTTTCTGTTTGTTCAGTTGCTGCTCCACGGCTTTCCGCGAACTTTCGGTCGCCTTTACCTTGGAATAAATGTAGAAAGGAATAGTGTTTGTACCACTGTAAATGTTCTCTTGGAATAGTTTAATTGGATTTATGGAAATGTTACGACCTCAGTTCTCTAGTTCTCTTCTTTCCCTACCATCATACTTCTCCGCTTTGCCCAGTCTCTCATGCGTATTCCATCGTGAAACATTATTTGTGCGTTGTGAACTGACTACTCCTAAATAATCGAACGTCACCGCAAAGACGAAAGATCAAAATTATGTGCGTGAATTTTCAAATGAGACTTTTAAGGCCTATGCAGTCGTTTTAAACTGTATTTGTTGTGATAAACCTGTAGCAACAGCTACACGTTTTTTGCTAACACAGCACATAAAGACAGCAAAACACAAGGACAACAAACCTTTGTGACACAAGAGCTGGGTCTGGATGAACGGTTTATACCGATTTATGTCGTGCTTTAGTTACATCTGACCCATCCATAAACTAGCCACCCTGAATTCAAGGTTTTTTTGAGAAATACACAGAGAAAACTATTCCCCGTGAAATTATCCTCAGGAAATCTCGCGTGGATGTTATATACAAAGAAACACTCCATAAATTCATAGACTTCATCGAAAATGGACCGATCTGGGTCTCGATGGATGAGACGACGGATTTTTTAAATTTAACTTTTTTGTTAATGCGTCTTTCTTTTTTTAATATTAACAACGTGATATTCCTCTTGCCAGTGTTTCTCGTTTCAATACAATTACGTGCTTTAATTTGAGAATTTCTTATTTTTTCTCATGGTAGTTTGCACATATTTTCAGATTAAAATTGCATTTTTACGAAATATATTTACATGTGTGCATATTTATTTGTTTTTATTCCATATAAATCAAAGCCCTACTTATAAATTTGTTTTTGAAATACTGCAATTAATGTGGTAATATTAACCCTACCCCAACTTCATGATTTATTTGGAAAGGTCCACAGACCTGATTTACGTAAATACCTTAAAACTTCACTTCTCATTTATTTTCAAAATTTTAAATTTCCCTCACATAAAATTGGCTAAAATATCTGCGACCGAAGTCACCAGTAGTAAGCCCGCCTGCTGTGACCAATGGCTTACGCTCTTTCAAAGATTTGATGTAACCTGTCCCACCTAGGTAAACCTTGCTGATTGGCCAGCTCTTTTTCAGTTATGCCATCTAGATTCATCATCGGGACGATTGCTTTCTCCGGGCTCAGTCCTCGCTTGACTTTTCCTTATTTTAAGACTTGACACATCACTTAATCTACAGAGAGACAACTTAAATTCCATTAGTCTATCAAACTTAAGATGGCTATTAAAAACCCGTTGCGAGGCCCTTAACTTGAACTCTGCACTTAGGTTGAGGGGCGAGGTGCCCTTTGCGATTCTCAATCTGTGGAAACAACATTGCATTTTATGGCTGAATGCTCAATATTGGGGGAGATCAGGTTGTTGCCATCTGGAACTAATTAGACCTAATTATGGAATTAAATTTTTGACCCCTCAAATTTCCTTTATATATTATATGATTTTATTACATACGATTTTTTGTCTCTTTACGATTAAGACTTTTTTCCTCTGTTTCCTTTTTATTATAAGTTTTGTTATTATTATGTTTAACTTGTGTGTGTGTGTGTGTGTGTGTGTGTGTGTGTGTGTGTGCTAGTATATAGCGAATAATGTTATAACTTCGCTTTAGACCTTATCTTTTTATTATTATTTCTTTACTATTATTTTTTTCTTTTACTCTTTTTCTTTTAAAAGCGACCTCCGGCATACGGATTGTGATCTACACTATGCTTTGTATATAATCATACTGCTATATTCGTAGAAATAAAAATCATTAAAAAAATGTGTTAATATTATAGATTTTCCATCACCATCGTGAAGAGGTACAATTTTTCAAGTGTCTCGTTATGTTGAGATAGAATCTGCTTGTACTTCATAATGCTCGGTGGCGGGCTGCAAAGTGGACATTCATTCGTAATTTGTTTCATTAGAAACAGCCGGGTCATAATGACCTTTCATACCAGGCAATCTGTACAAGGTTCGTTAATTATTTCCCAAGTGTATAAATTAAATCGTAGCGGTGATAACATGCGACCATGGGTGGCAAAACGCTATTTTTTCAATGCACATCGAAAGACGAATGTTGTCCGGCTTTCCTCGTTGCAAATTACGTTCTCAATTATGACTTTGCCGTGTACCTAAGAGATTTATCAAGTCGCTTTTTGCACTAAGAAAACTTTGTGTGAACACTGAAAGAAATTTTACTGTTACATAAAAATAAGAATGATTATTGTGATTCAACACGGCGAGTCAAAGAACTGACGCTTTCACTAGTTCATTTTACCATTTCATGCAAGTTAGAGATCAACTATCTATTATTCTACGTTATATATACATATATTTATTTATTTAGAAATCGTGAGATGCGGTCTGGTGTGATGTAGGTTTCAGAAAAACATTTTCTTTATCGTGCCAACGTTTCGATCTTTATTGAGACCTGAAGATGATCTCAATAAAGATCGAAACATTGGCACGATAAAGAAAATGTTTTTCTGAAACCTACATCACACCAGACCGCATCTCACGATTTCTAAATAAATATCGATTAACAGTCACTATCTCTTATAGTGGAAGTATAGTGGAAGGTTTTATTTTTATTTTTTTATTGGCCTTATAATCTTTGCATATTAACCATTACGAATTCTTATATATGTTGTTCAAATTGGGGGTTATCGGGAAAAAAGGGCCAGAGGCGACGGTGGGAATCGAACCCACGACCGCGGCGTGAGAGTCTCTCATGCTAACTACTCGGCTACCGCGGTCCCCAAAGTGGAAGGTTTATGGGCCGACAAACAGCTGAGGTCATCACCGGTCCTCCGCGTGTATTCCTTCTCCTCCCTGTCTTTCTCGCGTGTTTTGTATTGAACTGCAGCCATTTGAGCATTTCGATCTGGTTACTGACTCTCTGCTTTTACTTGTATATTACGTCGTTATTTTAAAATGCTAGCCTCTTGTTAGTACCTCAGGTTGTCAATTTAAGAATAGATACACAACTATAGATACGTAACATATATATCGCCACAAACATAGAGGTCTGGTCACATTCACTCCCCCAGAGTACTCGATATTCCTCGGGGCGGGGTTAAATCATCCCTTCCTTTCATGCTTAAACTACATTAATTCCAATAGATTAACGTATAAACAGCATGCAATACTAACATAAAAGTCTGGTCAGATTCCCTCCCCCAGAGTACTCGATATTCCACGGGGCGGGGCCGAACCCACTCCATTCGCGCTAATAACTTACTTTTCCTCTCCAAACATCACATACTCACCCCAGAGTACTCGATAATCCTCGGGGCGGGGTAAATAACTCCTTCCTTTCATGCTAATAAATTACATCCATCCTAATAAACATAAACACCACACAAATACTTCACACACAATACAAGCACGGCACAAACACACATAAACTATATACATTTGAAAGTCCCTATAGCCCTGAGGTACCGGTACAGCGATTTGTGCCCGCTGCCGTGCCCCAAGACTACGCACAGGACCGATGATATTCCAAAATATTGCCTATAAACATCGAACCTTCTACAATTGAAAAGGTGCTCGAGTGTTACTCTATCCTTGCATAATGGGCACCTATGCGTTCGCTTTCCTGCTAGAAGGTGCCCGTGCGTAATTCTTGTATGACCTATGCGTAGTCTTGTCAGTATGAGCTTTTCCCTTTTTGACCCATTTTCCGTGAACCAGGGACCGACGTCTTTCTTAACCTGCCACAGTTTGGCAGGGTTATACCTATTTTTCCGCGCCCAGCGGTTTTTCCATTCTATTCTACGTAATAAACTAAGGTTTCGTAAAGAGATCAAACATTGAATTAAAACCAGACGACTTTGATGTTGCTTCGAATATACGGTGCCAAAGTGACATATATCATAACGGTCTTTTCATGTCTTTAACCAGAATCACACTCGTAATACTGCTTTTTAAGAAAAATAGAGAGTTAAAAGGAAAAATCATAAATCAGAAATTATAGGTCGAAATTTGAAAATTTACTAGTAGACGTAGTAATCCGACCCGTGTCAACGTTAATTCTTCTAATTGAGGTCAATAAATAAAATGGGAAACCAGCGAAATTTTACCTAATAAGCCTATGGGAAACGGCCAGAACGGGCGTGGGACATAGGTTTAGTAATAAAGGGAATATCGTCCGGATTTAATCTCGGTCGACGTAAACAACCCACTTTATGCGATAACAGTGGATTTCCCTGTTAAGCCTGAGTTGCAAATGGAGGTGGAATAATTACGTAAAACGTTTTGTGTTTCAGGGGATGGAGACCAGCTTCAAGAGGTGGAAATGGTTAAATGGTCAACCGGGTCCTACAGACCCCTACAACAACTAATACGGACCCATCTGTGGTAAGTCGCAGAACCAAAAACAAACATCAATCAAACCTAAATAAACAATTTACGAAGCACCAAAATAAATTGAAAATTCACAAAAAACAAAACAATTACAATTGTTTCATTATTATCTGTACACAACGTTCCAGCAAACTTTAAATATTTCACAGTATAAAATTTATTATACTAATATAAAAAAATACGAATTATACCTAGTACAATTATGGAACACAGATAATGGCAATGAATTTGTCAAATATGCCGGAACCTATTGTTAAAAAATACTGACCTTCTAAAAACGATCCAAAAACTATTCATAATCTTAAACTATCGAAATCAAAAAAAGAAAAAGACAACACAATTAAATTCTTTAATTATTTTAAGCAACAGATGATAACGAACAAAGCACGTTACACCTTAATAATGTTATGCCGGAATAATTGCTTGCTAGGTAACGTAGAGTAAACTTTTGAACAAGTTTCTATGTCAACATCCACTTGTTTTCTGTTATCAATAATTAATATTATCCATCTCGCTTAAAATAATACAATTTTCATTTGATTCTTTATGAATTTTTTAATGATTATGCAACATTCTTCGGTTTCAATAAGGTCAAAAACTTTATCTAGTTTGTGGACGCCAGGGCAAGGTGGATTCGAAGCTTAACTCCCTCGGGAGAAGTAGACATAACCTGCCCATTTATTGTGCTATCCGTGCATTACAATCTTGAATCTTCTTTTTTTATTGGTTGCCAGGTTGCATTGAGATATGGAATAAGTATATTAATCTTATCATTAGGTTTTACGAAACTGATTCCAAATGATTCGAACTATAATAAAATATCCTTTTTAAACAGATAGTTCCTACTCACAGTAAGTTGTTTCTCAAAAGTCCGGATTTCCAGCCCTTTAGCTCATCATCAGGTTGAAGGTTTTCTACAAACACGTCTCTCGACATGAATTGCCAAAGTGAACCCGCTGATACCCCCGCCAACGCGACGTTCCAATGAGGAGCTTGTTTTTTAATGACGCCCAATTTGAACGTGTGGAAAGCGGAAATTATAACACAAATAACTATTATAATAGTAAATACTGTAAGAAATTAATTATAAATTAGTAATTAAAGATAAAAAATTAAAATAATACCTTAATATTATTAAATTATTATAAAAATAATAACAATTAAAATAATTAATTTAATTATTTGGGCGTTTAATATTATTTATGTACATATTTATAATGGGAGGTAGATCAAAATCTGTTAGATTATTAGTGCATTTATCACCATGTTCAATTCAAAATCAAATTTCTCAAACCAATCTAGTTCTCTCCCTTAGTTAATTTAATTATTTAGACCTGATAGGTTGCTAGTTAAAAGAATTAAAAAAAATAAATAAATAACTTTAAAAGAATCAACAATAGGACTCAGCCACCCCACAATAAATGAATAATTAGGTTTCCGTTGTTTGCCATACATTGGTGAATTATTCGAAGAAGTTAGTAAAATGTTTAAACAAGAAGGTTTTAGAATAGCTTATAGAAGTATGGGGTCACTAAAAAACATCCTCTCAAAACCTAAAGACAAGGTAGACGACTTGGCAAAAAGCGGGGTTTACCAACTCAATTGTAATGATTGTAATATTAAATATATAGGTCAAAGCGGTAGAGAAATAAAAACGAGTGTAAAAGAACACGTGCCTAAATCGAGCAAATTTTCGGAATTTAAAGACCATCTAAAAGAAACAAAACATAATTTCAATTCAAATTTAAATTCAACAGTGTTTCATAGCAATTCATTAAGGTTTTTAGTTGAGATGAAAAAAAGTTAATAGCACGAGACGGATTCGAACCCACGACCTTCGGCTAGATACGCCGCTGCTCTACCACCTGAGCTATCGTGACCTCGATCCACTCGGACATCAACTCCCCATCTCAACCCCACCTTTTGAAGTTTCCCTCCTTTTTGCCATTTTTCAAATGTCGTGTAATCGGATTGGATTCTCGACGATAATTGAAATGGCGACGGAGAGCTTTAGTGAAGTGTACTTCAGTAAATTAATTAAATTCACTAATTTCGTGGTCCGCTTGACCAATTAATACATTACAATTAATTAAGGTTTTTAGTTGAGATGAAAAAAAGTTAATGGCACGAGACGGATTCGAACCCACGACCTTCGGCTAGATACGCCGCTGCTCTACCACCTGAGCTATCGTGACCTCGATCCACTCGGACATCAACTCGTGGCATTAACTTTTTTTCATCTCAACTAAAAACCTTAATTAATTGTAATGTATTAATTGGTCAAGCGGACCACGAAATTAGTGAATTTAATAGTGTTTCATAGTTTCAACAAAGGGAGAGAACTAGATTGGTTTGAGAAATTTGAAATTAAAAAATGTAAAATTGCACAAGGTGATAAATGCATTAATAATCTTACAGATTTTGATCTACCTCCCATTATAAATATGTACATAAATAATATTAAACGCCCAAATAATTAAATTAATTATTTTAATTGTTATTATTTTTATAATAATTTAATAATATTAAGGTATTATTCTAATTTGTTATCTTTTATCTTTAATCACTAATTTATAATTAATTTCTTACAGTATTTACTAATATAATAGTTATTTGTGTTATAATTCCCGCTTTACGCACGTTCAAATTGAGCGCCATTAAAAAACCAGCTCATCATTGGAACGTCGACGTTGGCGGGGGTATCAGCGGGTTCAGTTTTGCAATTCATGTCGAGAGACGAGTTTGTAGAAACCCTTCAAGCTGATGATGAGCTAAATGGTTCGAAATCCGGATTGTTGCGAAACAACTTACTGGGAGTAGGAACCATCTTCTTAAATCGAATTGAAATCCACACCCACTCCATCATTCATAATTTGTAATAATAAAATATTTTCATTTAATTTTTTTAAAATTTTTCCATGAGATCCATACATTATTTACTGTTAACAAGAAAATTAATTGTAACAAATAAGATTTCGATTCTTATTTTAACTTGGATTTCAGTGTTATGAACAGGCAATTGTGGTTTTTCATCTGATTTAATTTACAGCACTTGACTACTGCAGATTTGGTTGGTGGATAATTGATATCCCTTAGAATAAAATGCTAGAAAAGAGAAAAATACAAAGACGATAAATCGATATATAGATAGATAGGCAGATATAGGGAAGAAGGGAGGGGGAGGGGAGGGAGAGGGAGAGAGAGGGAGAGAGAGAGAGAGAGAGGATAATAAATGAAATAAAATGGGTCAAAATCAATATAATTCAAATAATAATAAGTTATCTTCTAAAATAAAAAATTTAAATTTACAAAGTAATAGATACCTTTAAGCAATATAGAACAAAATACAAACTCTTGACCAAAATTACTATGCGAGGAAATAAAGAAAGAGCGAAAGAAAGAAAGGATCAACATATAGGCCTTTATACGTCAGATACCAACTCCGCAAAACCAACTGCCTTTTTCTTATCTTATCACACCATGATGGGTCACCTCCTACCATGTTTGATCCTCATACTCATTAAGTAAAATATTGCGGATTTTATCGAAATTTATCTTTTTATTCTGTGCCGCATTGAAAATAATGTTAGAAGCCGTTCTGTTGAGATTATCAGCAATGTGAAATAAAATACTTCTAGTAATGCATTTATGACTTTTAAGAACTCTAAATTAGATTCGCCGTCTCGTAGTATCAATTTTGGCAACTTGTCCAATTTTTTTCCAACATCCCACCATGTTACTATTTCATCCTTACAAGAGAACAATAGAGATAAAGAGAGATAGATAGGTAGATAGATAGATAGATAGATAGAGAGAGAGAGAAAGAGAGAGAGAGAGAGAGAGAGAGAGAGAGAGTGAGGAGGGAGAATCAGTTGGATTTAGGTAAGATACAGTTAACTATAACATTTAAACATTGTTTTTACAGATTATACAAAATTTTATATGTGCTAAAAAGCGGGAAATTTGAAAAAGTAGGATGAGATGGTGAGTTTGTGTCTCGGGCACCAGAAGCACGACAGCTCAAGTGGTTAGAGCGCCGGAGGGTAGAACTGGAGGTCGTGAGTTCCAGTACTGCTCCTGAAGTTTTTTTACTACTTTTACTACTGTAAAAACATTAGTACAATTTTCGTATTATTTTCCTATCCGTTCTCTAAATTTAACTTAACAACCTAATTTTTTCAACATTTCAAATTATATAATTATAATTATTATGTTAAAACAAACAGAGAAGATAAACAAATTCTGCAGCACCGAAAAACATTCAAAAATTGATATATAACCTAACGGTAACCAAACACGTCCCTAACCTTAACTGAAACTGACAGAGCATGTCTGAACTAGTTCCTAATCGTAACTGAACTAATAAAGCCTAACCAACCTCGTCCCTAACACTAAGTCCTTATTCTGACACTAACTTTACCTAAAGAAACCCAATTCAAGCATTTAAAGACGCTTGTTAAAGTTGAAATAATTTTTATGACATTTAGACAAATAAAGAAAATGCACTTTCAAGAATCCAATTCAAAACTTGCCCTTTGAACTTCTATATTTGTTCTATATTTCTTTGCTTCTCGGGAAGAAAAACCCATAAAAGATACAAACCCAAACCCTAACCTATCCTTAAACCATAACCCTACGTAACCTTACGTAATCATAGCGCACTTTCCGCGAAATCGATAGCTCTAAAATGTTAGGGTTAGGGCTACAAATAGAATTAGGAACGGTAATTACATATCATACTAGCACTGGGTCACTCCTTAGATCCGTTTACAAACTTGGCTTTTGAAGTTAGGCAAATTCGCTCTCAAACTAGCAGACCAACACCACTATCACGGTTAGGTTAGGTAGAGTAAGTTTTAAAGTGGGATAAAAATCATTGATCCAACGTTTTTTAATAATTAACTTATAAAATCATTTCACTAAGTGCTTTTGTTACACTTTTCCCTCTCATTCCTATCCCTACATTCACTCTCCCTCGCTCACTCTCTGTCTCT